CCCCTTCCCCTACTGCCCCAACGATAAATAATGATATCGGTCTCTTACGCCTTGTTTAGAGATAATTATCGAGTTTTGATTCTAAAAGGGACAATTTATTTTACTGCAACACATTATTTCCAGGTGGTGTTTTCTTGGGAGGTCTTGTTGTCCGTCGTTTCAAGTTAAAAGAGACACTCCTTATGGCAGCTAAATGCTGTTTGATTATCAAGGTTGCCACAATATTTACAAGTCTTATTTGGCTAATACCCGGATGTGACGAGGTGCAACTTGCTGGGATAGTCAAACCGTACTGGGACAGGTAGGGAGAAAGATAATAGCAATTGAAGTAGTTGAATTGATTTTGTGATTTCTGCACTTCTCCACGTGTGATAACTGGATTTCTGAGTGGTTTATAGCTCGTTTCCTGGTCATTTCGTAGACACTATCACTAAAACCCTTGTGAAGAACTAGCAAGTTGTAGATTATTTGTAAGTTGTAGGGATTATACTGGCTGGACTGTCATGTTCTATAGCTACATATTGCAAGGATTTCTTTAATGATTCATGGACTTAACTTGTTTGTCTTTCACAGCACAATGGGAGGAAATTCTTTAATTTCAACATGTAACAAAAACTGCAGTTGCCCTCTATCCCTGATCAGACCTGTGTGTGGCTCGGACAAATTAACATACTTCTCTCCTTGTTTTGCTGGTTGCACTTCATCAGACACTAGTGGGGTAAGGTTTAAGAACAGAATCTTTCCTTGAATATGACCTATCAATAGTGATGTCAGCTAGAACAAATTCAAAATTTCCAATGATACAATACAATCTCAAGGTCGAACATGGAAATCGCCATTTAGAAGGGCCTAAATTTTTATCCTCATCAAAGAATCAACTTTTACCTACATTCAGTGCATGAGATTACCATGTATAACACGGGTGACATGATGACTTGGGAAGAAGGAACTTTATTGTAAAGAGAAAATAACGTTGAGTTTAATAGTTTACTACCAAACATGATTGTGACATTTTCGCGAGATTTCGAATCAGTCAAGAGACTCCTCAGAGATTTCGAAATCCTGTTCGTAAACTTACAATTTATTATTCGTCTGACCCTCGATCACAGAAAGATTCTTGAACGCAGGTCCACGAGTTACATTTATTCAACAAAAAACCCGTGAAGTACATATACTTAATATAAGCCGAGCCACAGATTCTGTAGCACATGTATCCAGGCCCTACTAGTATTTTTACCTTCAAAGTTTACAGTGCACTGGTTAATGATGTGTTTTCGTAACAGGTTTACACTGGGTGCAACTGTGTCTCGCCACCTTTTAATGTCTCAACACCCTTGGCTTCTCGTGGATTATGTGACAGAGGCTCAGGCTGCAAAAATTACATCGTATTTTTGGTCGCTGTGCTACTTCTGGTGATGGCAGGTTTTACACTTTCTGTACCAAACAAGACTGTTGTACTTAGGTAAACACATGTAAAAGTAACAAGACTTTTCGATTTGAAAACAGCTGGCAGGCCTGTGCCCCTGAATTCTTACAACGTTGGTTGTCCACAGTTGTTTAGACAACCAACATTTGGCAGAACGCTTCACTCTGACAACGCCTCTGTCCATCCTAGAGTATAAATGGGTACTGGCGCATTGTCAGGAAAGCCTGATGAAATAATGGGGGGTAACCATGCGATGGAATAGCATCCCTTTCAGAAAATTCTCCTAGTCGCTTCCTCGTCGGAAACCGGAATAAGCTCCGGCTGAGTGGGCCACTTGGCTCCAGCGCAGACCTTGCCTTTACCTTTTTATTCTAGTCCAATACTGCAAGTACTAACATTTAACTACTACTCATTTAAAACTCTTTGCTATTTACGACTTCCATTTCCAATTCGGACTTAACTAACATTTACGAAAACAAAAAGGAAATCTACAAACATCAAAAGATTTGCCATTACAATGGCAATATTATCATCTCAGCTGTGTTCAATCCTAGGTCAGTTCCTGACAACATTCGCTCCTACGCATTTGGCTTACAGTTTGTATTCCAGCGAACTCTTGGATTCATTCCCGGACCGATAATTTACGGTTGGTTGTTTGACACTCGCTGCCTCGTTTGGGCGGAAAGCTGCGGCAGAAGAGGCAACTGTCAGTTTTATGACGTACATAGTTTGTCCTATGGCATCATGCTTCTCGCCGGAAGTTCCCATGGTAATTTTGAAATAAGATTTTTGATACATTTCTATCTATTTATGTTTTATCTTTGGCATCCATCGGTCACGAGTGACCAAGGACCTCCGGTTCAGGTATATCGGAGCAGCGTCTAAGATGGATGTGCAGACCAGTGTGTCGAGAGTG